TGATATGTTAAACATGGACCTGAAACTTGTCACTCTTCCTGGCCCTTCTCTCTGCCTAGAAGCTGATCTGAATAGAAGGGCTGCATTGACTACATTGTCTCACAACTTCCGGCAGAGTTCAGCCAAGGAGAACTTCAGCAGGAGACTAGAAGATAGAGAACAGAGAAGTCAGGGTATTTACCCCTCAGATCTCCCCAAACCAAGCAAGGGTTTGGCAGTGGATGTTCCTTATCAGAAGCTACAGCTTCTGCTCCTGTTGAGCTTATCTCTCCCATGGCTTCAGCTCTCAGCAGGGTCCAGTAATCCTGTTCCCTGACCATTTACCACTAGCCCTCTTTGATCCCCTAATCCATTCCTAACTCCCATCATTCATCCTTCTTTAATCACCTCCCTCTCCCAAGGGGCAGTTTCTTCTGCCAGAACTCTGACAGATGTAGGTGGTAAGTGTTACATAGAAAATTAAGAAGAGTTGCAAGTGCAGAGAAGACAAACAGATTTAAAGGGAAGTTTGAGAAAGATCTCATCAAGAAAGCGACATTTGGGCAAAGATATGAAAGAGTCATGAGATACCTGGGATGGAGGGACCTCCCAGGCAGAGAGAAAAGTCTGTGCAAAGGGCCTAAGGTGGGCCTACACGTGGGTGTTCAAGGAACATCAAGGAAAGTGGTGTGAACAGAACAGGCATAATGAGAGGGAGAGAGGTGGGAGGTGAAGTCAGTGAAGCAATAAAAGAAAAAGCAAACAAACAGGAACTATTAGTGCATTGTAGTTACTGTAGGACACTGCACATGTGTAGAAGGACCCTACAGGGGTGTGAACAGAGGGGCAGCCACTGATTGTTAATGGGATTACTTGGCTGCTCTGTGGGGAAGGGACTGAAGGGGCCTGGCCAGAGCAGAGATCCTAGCTAGGAGATGACTGCATGGATTGGGTAAGAAAAGATGGCAGCCATAGCCACAGATATGAGGCATGATTGAATTCTGGGCATTTTTGGAACGTAGAGCAGCCAGGTCTGTTGACAGAGCATTTGTGGCCTGTGAGATAAAAGAGTTAAAGGTGACTCCAAGGTGTTTGGCCCAAGCACCCAGAAAGATTGAAGTTGGCATTGGGTTTGAGAAGCAGGACTAGAAAAAGGATGCCAGGAGCTCAGTTCAGTACACTTGAAGCTTGAGACGTATGCCAGACAGTGTTTTGGCAGCTCCTGATGGGCCGTAGCGCAACATTCAGAAAACTAAGATCACGGCATCTGGTCCCATCACTTCATGGCAAATAGATGGGGAGACAGTGGAAACAGTGTCAGACTTTACTTTTTTGGGCTCCAAAATCACTGCAGATGGTGATTGCAGCCATGAAATGAAAAGATGCTTACTCCTTGGAAGGTAAGTTATGACCAACATAGACAGCATATTAAAAAGCAGAGACATTACTTTGCCAGCAAATGTCTGTCTGGTCAAGGCTATGGTTTTTCCAGTGGTCATGTATGGATGTGAGAGTTGGACTGTGAAGAAAGCTGAGCACCGAAAAATTGATGCTTTCGAACTGTGGTGTTGGAGAAGACTCTTGAGAGTCCCTTGGACTGCAAGGAGATCCAACCAGTCCATCCTAAAGGAGATCAGTCCTGGGTGTTCATTGGAAGGACTGATGCCGGAGCTGAAACTCCAGTACTCTGGCCACCTGATGTGAAGAGTTGACTCACTGGAAAAGACCCTGATGCTGGGAGGGATTGGGGGCAGGAGGAGAAGGGGATGACAGAGGATGAGATGGCTGGATGGCATCACTGACTTCATGGGCATGAGTTTGAGTAAACTCCGGGAGTTGGTGATAGACAGGGAGGCCGGGCATGTTGCGATTCATGGGGTCGCAAAGAGTCGGACACGACTCAGCAACTGAACTGAACTGAACTGATGGACCATATCTACTGGGGATCACACCTTTGTGCAGTCCCTTCCCCTTGTGCCTGAATCAGTGTGGGACCTGCTTGAATTCACTGAATGCAGCATATATGATAGGGGACTGGGGCCTTGGGAAAGCTTGGCATCTTCTGCTTTCCATCACAGGAAGCAAGTTGCTATTTAAGAAGTTGGCCCACTCCCAGGGGCCAACTACCATGCCATGAAGAAGACTGGGAAGCCACATAGAGAAGCTCATGTGGGGCAAAACAGAGGCTGACAGTCCTAGCTGTGCCCCCAGCCAGCAACTGGCATCAAATGCTCGTAAGCATGAGGCATTACACCTTGCAGTTAGCCCAGTCGACACCATGGGAAATCAAAGAATAATCTTATTGACATTTAGTAAATAATAAATTGCTCTTTTGGGTCTTAAAAAAAACAAAGATTTGAAGTATTCATTCTCAACTAGAGGGAGATAGTTCAGTTCAGCTTAGTCACTCTGTCATTTCCGACTCTTTGCAACCCCATGAACCGCAGCACACCAGGCCTCCCTGTCCATCACCAACTCCCAGAGTCCACCCAAACCCACATCCATCGAGTCGGTGATGCCATCCAACCATCTCATCCTCTGTCGTCCCCTTTTTCTGCCCTCCATCTTTCCCAGCATCAGGGTCTTTTTGAATGAGTCAGCTCTTCGCATCAAGTGGCCAAAGTATTGGAGTTTCGGCTTCAACATCAGTCCTTCCAATGAACACCCAGAGGGAGATAAATGGGACTAAAATATCACTAAAATGTGGACTATAGACAAAATCTCACTAAACTGTGGACTAAACTGTGTGTTCAGTTTCTCAGTCGTGTTCAACTCTCTGAGACCCCATGGCCTATAGCCTGCCAGGCTCCTCTGTCCATGGGATTTTCCAGGCAAGAATCTGGAGTGGGTTGCCATTTCCTTCTCCAGAGGAAATATTATTATTATTATTATTATTATTATTATTATCACTAATAAGCTATAGGCTAGAATGTAGCTTAGGAGTGAGAGATAAATAGGCTTCCCAACTGGACCTCTGTTTGAGCAGACTTACTTGTCCTGTCACAGAAGCCCAGACAGGGACAGGCTCACTGTGCAGTGGAGAAGATTCTTGCCCTGGAGAAGCGGCAGAGAGTGCCAGACCCCTGTGGGGGGCACCCACCCACTTGAAAGTGATGAGAGGCTGAGATGAGCTTACAGATTATTTCCAGATTTATCAGTCAGGTAAATGACCCCATCTCCGCTGGTACAGAGTGAGGAAAAGGGCAGAAAGAGGTCCTGAGTTTTCCTAATTGAGCTGTATTCAAAAGAAAGAAGCATCTCAAGAATGGAAGGTGTTCCACGCTTACTTCATCTACTACCTTGCTATCCAGGTAGTAGCCACTAGCCATGTGTGAGTATCCACATTTGAATTAATGTAAATATGTTAAAATTTAGTTTCTTAGTCACACTGGCAACATTTCAATCCCCCTGTCACCACATGTGGCTACTGGCTACTATATTGGACAGTGTACTGTACAACGTCACCACTATCAAGGATGGCTCTACGATGGAACTAACATGAGATTTTTGCCTTACTCATTTTTGTATTATCAGTGACTATAACCAGGCCTGATTCCAAATCATTCAGAAATGTTTCTGAATGAATACATGAAAATAGACTATTGTGATTTTGTTTTTCAAATCCACACATCGCAAAGAGATTTCCTCGTTGCTTTCTAAGCAACAAGATTTAAAAATGGAACACAGATATTCTGTTAAATAAAATAAGTCACTTGAAGAATATGTATTATATGATCTTATTTTTATTTAGAAATAAATATTTATATGCACTTTGATAAATGTTTAAAAGCATAGGAAAAAGTCTTGAAAGATACACACCAGACTGTGTATACCATCTAATGGTTGAGATTGGGGAAAAGAAATGAGGAATTTTTTTACTTAGAGAACTTGTTATTAGGAAAATACATGAGTTAAAAAACAATTAACAGATTAGGTGGTGTGTTAATTTTCTTGATGTACAAGGAAAAGCATGGCTATTCTTAATAGGTAGTATTAATGAAAGGTAATTTTAAGAGTGAATAAAATATCAAGAAACAGTGTTGAAGTATCAGGACAAATCACAGCCATTGGCCTGGTGAGCATCACTTGCAAACTGTGAAATCTGTTTCCTAAGGACTATACAAATTAACTTTTTTTTCCCCCAAATATGCCTCCCTTGCTAAGCTTCAGAGAAAGACCAGGCCAGATGGTGAAGGTTTCAGTTTTCTGTTATATCTCCTGACACAGTAACATACTTTCTCCCACCTGTGCTTATAGTAATTACTTTTGTTCATTGCAGGACCAACCTTCATTCAGGGTCTTGACCTAGTAACTGTGGGCAAATCAGAATACTGATACACTGACTATGATAATCCTCTTGGAGTCTTATTTTTCTCCTGGTTTGGTGGTTTACAAGCTCACAGATGCTGGACCAGGATTCAGTGCATAAAATACAGACAATCTGTTTGACACGGCCAAATCTAAATGGCTGAAGCAGGACATTAAAGGCTGAAGCAGTGCCTTAAAAAGTGATGAATGCCATATAACACCCACAAAAAATCAACCTTGTTTCAAAATGAAGATCTTTAAAAATGCTAGATACTATAGGACTTTCTCAGAAGGCAAAAAAGAAAAAAAGGCTATCATCACAAAACTACTAAAGCCAAATGGAAATGACAGATAAAATAATACAAAAAGACATGTTTAATGATCAGTTCTGCTGTTTTATTTCATGCTCAGATGATGGGAGACAGAAATATTTTCATCAGACTATTAAAATGAATGAATTTGAAGATATAATCACCCAGAAAAATGGCTCTTAAAAATAGTTTTTAAGATGAGCAGGATAGAAATGATTTCTTTGTAATCATTGTGTTCATTGACTATTAATCATTCTTAAATAATGATGGATTCTAGCCTTGGGTAAAATTCCATGAGGATGAATTTCTCCCTTAGGAGGTAATAGTATTTGAAGAGGTTGAGCTGTTTAGTAAATTACTTCTTTCTTAATTTATTTTTCTGTTACTGTTTCTGTTTTTTAGACCCACTATGAAAATGGGGAATATATCATCAGGCAAGGTGCAAGAGGGGACACCTTCTTTATCATCAGTAAAGGAAAGGTAAGCTCTGATGGCTATAGTATAATAAGCATGATGCTAGAAGTCACTGATAAGTCTACATAAATGGAAATCCTGGATGTTTTTCCCATATTATATTTTTGTGTGTGTGTGTGTATGTTAGTCTTTCTCTTTATGTCTGACTCTGCAACCTCGTGAACTGGAGCCCACCAGGCTCCTTGGTCCATGGAATTCTCCAGGTAACAACTAGAATGGGTTGCCATTTCCTTCTCCAGGAAATCTTCCTACTCAGGGAAGGAAACCAGGTCTCATGCATTTCAGGCAGATTCTTTACTGTCTGAGCCACCAGCAAAGCCCTTATATTTCTAATTCTTTGCTATCATGAAATGGTATGTTTATCCTGAAGATGAGTTTCTGACAGACTTTTGTGATTACTGTCTTAATGCAGATTACAGCACTGCCTCAAAGAGGTGGTTTGGAAGAAGTTTCAGCTGAAGACAAGTGTATTAGTGGTGCTATCTTTTGAGTTTTGTAATATGTATGCATAAAAATAGCATGGAAATCACACCACAGGAACTGACTCCCTTGGTAATATTTCAGAGTACTCTAGGGGTTCTGGTAGAGAAGTAGTGAGAATATATTGGAATTTTTTGACACATCCAAGATTTTTTAAAACCAGGCATGCATTTTTTTCCCTAACTTTGTTTTTCAGGTCATGCAACTTAGCTTCCATGATTATTAATTACATAATAATATATGTTTGATTAGTATGTTAATTATGTGTATTCTAATATTACTGTATTAAAATCATTATATTAAGTTTTAAGAAGTAGAAGGTGAACACACATAAGTCCCAATGGGAAGGAACAGAGAATGAAAAGAGTAATGAGAGTAGGTTCAGGAGCAGATAAATAAGTTGTAGAATTGAAAATTTCTAAACCTGTATGTTTTGTTTAGTCTACTTGCTTTGATGCACATTTAAAAATTTATAAAGGATAACATGGCAAAGATATTTACCTTGTTACCACCAAACTGGCTTTTCCTTAGAAAATGTTATGAAACAGACATTGATGCAAACAGAGGCCATACAACTACAAATGGATATCCTCTTCTTTAAGTTCATTTCCCCTTGTTCAAGTTGATCTATAAGACCTCCTAGAACTAACACCCAAAAAAAGATGTAATTTTCATTATAGGGGACTGAAATGCAAAAGTAAGAGTCAAGAGATACCTGGAGTAACAGGCAAATTTGGCCGTGGAGAACAAAATGAAGCAGGTCAAAGGCTAACAGAGTTTTGCCAAGAGAACGCACTGGTCATAGCAAATACCCTCTTCCAATAACACAAGAGAAGACTCTATACATGGACATCACCAGATGGCCAACACTGAAATCAGATTGATTATATTCTTTGCAGCCAAGGATGAAGAAGCTCTATACAAGCAGCAAAAACAAGACCGGGAGCTAACTGTGACACAGCTCATGAATTCCTTATTGCCAAGTTCAGTCTTAAGGAAAGTAGGGAAAAATACTAGACCATTCAGGTATGACCTAAATCAAATCCCTTACAATTATACAGTGGAAGTGACAGATTCAAGGAATTAGATCTGATAGACAGAGTGCCTGAAGATCTATCAATGGAGGTTATTGACATTGTAAAAGAGGCAGTGATCAAGACCACCCCCAAGAAAAAGAAATGCAGAAAGGTGAAATGGTTGTCTGAGGAGGCCTTAAAATAGCTGAGAGAAGAAGAGAAGCAAAAGGCAAAGGAGAAAAGGAGATATCACCATTTGAATGCAGAGTTGCAAAGAATAGCAAGGAGACATAAGAAAGCCTTCCTCAGTGATCAATGCAAAGAAATAGAGGAAAACAACAGAATGGGAAAGTCTAGAGATCTCTTCAAGAAAATTAGAGATACCAAGGGAATATTTCATGCAAAGATGGGCACAATAAAGGAAAGAAACGGTATGGAACTAACAGAAGCAAAGAAGATATTAAGAAGAGGTGGCAAGAATACACAGAAGAATATACAAAAAAGATCTTCATGAACCAGATAACCCAGATAACCCAGATAATAATGGTGGGATCACTCACCTGGAGCCAGACATCCTGGAATGTGAAGTCAAGTGGGCCTTAAGAAGCATCACTATGAACAAAGCTAGTGGAGGTGATGGAATTCCAGTTGAGCTATTTCAAATCTGAAAAGATGATGCTGTGAAAGTGCTGCACTAAATATGCCAGCAAATTTGGAAAAGTCAGTAGTGGCTGCAGGACTAGAAAAGGTCAGTTTTCTTTCCAATCCCAAAGAGAGGCAATGCCAAGAAGTGTTTAAATTACCACACAATTGCACTCATCTCACATGTTAGCAAAGTAATGCTCAAAATTTTCCAAAGCAGACTTCAATAGTACATGAACTGTGAACTTCCAAATGTTCAAGCTGGATTTAGAAAAGGCAGTAGAACCAGAGATCAAATGGCCAACATCTACTGGATCATTGAAAAAGCAAGACAGTTCTGGAAAAACATCTACTTCTGCTTTATTGACTCTGCCAAAGCCTTTGACTGTGTGGATCACAACAAACTGTGGACAATTCTTAAAGAGATGGGAATACCAGACCACCTGACCTGCCTCCTGAGAAATCTGTGTGCAGGTCAAGAAGCAACACTTAGAACTGGACATTGAACAACAGACTGGTTCCAAATTGGGAAAGGAATTCATAAAAGCTGTATATTGTCACACTGCTTTTTTAACTTATATGCACAGTATATCATGTGAAATGCCAGATTGGATGAAACAGAAGCTGGAACCAAGATTGCTGGGAGGAATATCAATAACCTCAGATATGCAGATAACACCACCCTTATGGCAGAAAGCAAAGAAGAACTAAAGTGCCTCTTGATGAAAGTGAAAGAGGAGAGTGGAGAAAGTTGTCTTAAAGCTCAGCATTCAGAAAACTTAAGATCATCGCATCCGGTTCCATCACTTCCTGGCCAATAAATGGGAAAACAATGGAAACAGTGAGAGAATTTGTTTTCTTGGACTCCAAAATAACTGCAGTTGGTGACTGTAGCTATGAAATTAAAAGATGCTTACTCCTTGGAAGAAGAACTATGACCAATTTAGACAGCATATTAAAAAACAGAGACTTTTTTTTGCAACCAAAGGTCCGATAGTCAAAGCTGTGGTTTTTCCGGTAGTCATGTACGGATATGAGAGTTGAACTATAAAGAAAGCTGAGCACTGAAGAATCGATGCTTTTGAACTGTGGTGTTGGAGAAGACACTTGAGAGGTCCTTGAACAGCAAGGAGATCCATCCAGTCCATCCTAAAGGAAATCAGTCCTGAATATTCGTTGCAAGGACTGATGCAGAAAATGAAACTCCAATACTTTGGCCACCTGATGCGAAGAGCTGACTCATTTGAAAAGACCCTGATGCTGGGAAAGATTGAAGGCAGGAGAAGAGGACGACAGCGGATGAGAGGGTTGGATGGCATCACCAACTGGATGGACATGAGTTTGAGTAAGCTCCAGGAGTTGGTGATGGACAGGGAAGCCTGCTATGCTGCAGTCCACGCGGTTGCAAAGAGTTGGACATGACTGAGCGACTGAACTGAAATGAACTGAAGTTCCTTAATTTAAATATAATGCATTTTTAATTTTTTCATAAAGCACATTTGCACAAAGAGAAATAATCATAAATTAATCTTTGAAATATATTTTTTCCTGCCATTAAACCCATACAAACTGTTTTCTAAAATGAGGCAGGATGCTGTGGTGAAGTCCAAGTCCCTGACGATGCCTCAGGAAGAAGCTGAGATCTTAGTTCTCTGTACTTTCAATCCATCCATTCCAGTTGCATGAAAACATGTCTTGTACCCCCATCAGACTATAAAGCACCCAAGAATTCACAGTTGAACATGAAAAATATCTCTGATAAAACTTTATGCATATGTCCTTGCAGTTGGGTTACATCAAAAAATCTCTCCATAAATGCATTGAACCAAAATTGAGTAAGAGTTATAGACAGAACTTCAGAGTTGGAATAATGATTGAGATGCATTTTGATTTTGTTTTTATTCTATTCAATAACCTTGTAGGCTACCATTAGAAAAAATATATCAAAAAATTTTTTTTATTAAATGCCACTTAAAACCACATGGCTTTGCTTAGAATTAACAAGTGCTTAAGCATCTTATTCAAACAGATTGGCTTAACACAATGTTTATTGTTGTTCAATACTGAAAGTATCCTCTGATAGAAATTTTGTGTGTCTATGTATATATGTGTGTCTCAGGATGAAACATGAGAAGCATTTCATTTTAGATCAAGAGGAAAATAAAGATGCATATTATCCCCATTTCTGTTCAGTGTGGAACTAAACATCCCAACCACTGAAGTAAGTCAAGAAAAAGATATAACATTTAAAAATGAAGAAGTAAGATAGCAATTAATTAGATGGTATGATTTTAGTTTCTTTTGTTTTTATGTAGACAGATAAATTATTAAAATTAACAAACGCTTAGCTAGATCAACGTTGTTCAGCACTTTTTCCTTTGCTATATTATATCTTCAAAACCTAACAGAGTAGTCATCAGTTCCACTCACTATCTAAATTAAAATTAACTAACTTAAAATATTCAGCTTCTTAGTAGTAGCAGTAGCCACATTACAATTGCTGAATGTTGCTATTGTTGACTATTGGATACTGTACAACTAGACACTTTACTATAAATTTTGAAAAAGCTGAATCATTCAATAATATCTATCATATTAATACTCAAACAACAAAGTCATATTGTCATGTCAGTTGATGCAATGAAAGCATCTGACATGTGTAACATTATGCTCAATAAAAACTCTCAGAAAATTATGAATAAAAGAGATCTTCCTCAAATTATTAATTGATAGATACAAAGTACTTACAGCTAACATCATACTTAATAGTGAAAGCAATCAGTGGAGAAAGAGCAGTCTTTTCAGGATATGGTATTTGGATGATTGGTTACCCATAGGTGGAAAAAGTAAGTCTTGACCTAAAGTTCA